TTCTCATCTTTTTCTCTTCTCCTTCCTTATTCGTCCATTTCAAAATGTTTTCAACTATATTATCTCTAAAAAATAGATGAAATGAAGAAATAGGACTGTCTACATTTTTTCTAGCAAATCTTGTTGGACCGGGTTTCCCGTGAATTACATTCATCATACCACGCCTTCCACATTTGTTGTAAACTGGTTCATTTTGCCAGACTATGTTTCCACATTTAGATACAAATGTTTTGCTTTTTTCATTATCATTGCTTTCATCGGAAGAGCCTAGATCTGAATTAGAGCTGTCATTTTGTACATCTGAAAGTATTATTATATATTCATATTATTGTTATTTGATACATTTGAAAAATTGTATTTTTTATCAATCTTATCTTACTTGAACTCTGAAGTGTATATTTTATTTCATCATCATCGTCGGCGCTGTCTTCAACGAGAAAAGGTTCATTTCCTTTTCGTCAGTAAATTCTACATCCGAATAATCAGTAATCTCTTCATGCTCACTAATACTCTCTTCGTCACTAGAATTATCAATTATCAATTGTTTGGCTTGCTCTAAAGTAAATCTTTCAGAATACGCCATTTTAGCTGATTGTTTGAAAAAAAAAGTGTTGAACTGCTTATTGCCAAAGATTTGAAAAGTTTGACATTAATTTTTTATAGTTGATGATAATACAATCGAATAAAAATAGTAACATAAAATTTAATTGTTCTCCATTACATTCATAAAGTTTTAAATATTTAAAAAAGTGTATTTAATTTGGGGTAAAAATCAACCCCAATCGTCCTAGGTGCTATATGCATTCAAAACTGCCCTCTAGCGTTATTTTTTTTATCAAATTTTAGTTTTAAAATAAGAGAAGAGATGATTTTAGGAAAAGTCATAAAAATTGAGCCCAAGCTTTTGCGTAGTTTTCTTTTTTCTTGCTTAGAAAGTAGCTCTGGGGTAGAAATCTACCCCAGCCGTCATCGCAGGGTTAACAGGTGGTAAGGAAGAGCAATTTAAAAAAATATTAGAAAACAAATGAAAATCAGGATCAATGCTAAACAAATGACATGAGCTTTCATCATGTTAAGATGAGTGAACTTTCGGAAAATCATCAGGGCATTCACTTGGAACTGCCATGGTCAGATGGTTTGTTGTTTGATAAAACATCTAAACTCTTCTTTGATCTGGAAAAGTCCCATTGACGAAAAAACGTGTACCGTGGCCAAATATCAGGGTTGAGTAATTTAGATGATTCATCCACTGGCACAACAATCTTGAAGACTGTGGATTTAGTGGTTTCATCAACAGGAGGATCATCAAGATTTTTCCTTTTTAGAACTGGATAACAGGCAAAGAAGATGACATTTTTGTCCCTCAAGTGGCTTTCAATAAACTGTTTATCACAGAGGTCGACGTTACCTACATAGTAAGTTGCTTTCTTTATGATGACCTTCGTGGCCTTAAAAGTACAATCTTTGCCAGTACCAAATGTTTAGTTTTCATACCTGTGGATTTGTTAACATGAGTAGATTTGGGGGAACCAACAGATCTCTTGACTTTTTTATTTCTTGGTAAAATAAAATTATCAATGGCATCATCATGAGAATCGATTGCTGATGAGTAATCAAAACAGGGTTGGTTTGGAGAGATAGCATTAGCCACGATCTTTGGAAATAACACAGATGCGTTCGATGGACCATCATTGTTAGAAAAAACTGACTGTGATGTAGCTGGCAAGCCTGTTGATTTATTGACTGGGGTCAAATTAGTTAAACAGGCTGTTACATAACAATGTGAAACAATGGTTTTCCAGTTAACTTTCCATCATCACCGGCAGTCAACTCAACCCATTGCTGGCCACCAATGGTAGGCTTAGTAGCCTCGTTCTTGAAAGACCCAAAGTCATGTCTCAAGGCCTCGGAGTCCTTCTTAGAAGACCCAAGGTTAAGCCTTAGAGTTTCGATTTCCAGAGACTTTTCCTTGTTCATTAACTCAAGTTGAGTAACTTTATCTGTTTAAGATAAGAGATGCCGAGAGATTTTACTACACCACTCATGTAGTTTCTTAACGGGTTCGCCAGCTGCGGTTCCTAGTTTCGGCCAACCGTCTTCATTAAGAAATTTCAGGTTCATAATTCGTAGCCAATAACTATTTTATATTAAATTTACAATTCTATTAATAAATTTGTTGAAATTATAATTAAAAACCGAAATTTGAACGAAATCAAGCAAGAATATATCAAGCATATATATATATATATATATATATATACTGTGCCTCTACTCTACTTTGTTGATTCCTTGATTGTTTAAAGTGAATACCTTGTTGATTTAAGCTTTTCTGTTCTATCATGCATAAAATAAACAAAAAATTTATAGTTTGTTTTTTCAATTTTCCTTACTAGAAATTAAAAAGATAAACTTTAAATTGATTAATGCCAATTTGTTAGAATTCATAATTTATAATTCATAATTTATACAATACAGTATAAAATATGGTCTCTTTATAATATATATGATAAGCGAAGTTTTCTTATTTTTGATTTTTCTCTTTCCACTCTACGACATTGTTGTTTAAAATATTTATTATCGTAACTGAAATTTATTCATTGAATTTTAATGAACACAATTAAATGGTGTTACTACGTTTTACTTAATATGATTATTAATCTACCAGGATGCTCCTGACTGGACTGAAATCTTGACCTACTTCCGAGGGTCAGAACTTCAAAATTATTTCACTAAAATTTTGGAAGACGATTTGAAGGCTATCATCAAACCACAATATGTGGATCAGATTCCAAAAGCTGTAAAGGTGCACACTTTGGCAAATATTCGAATGCCCAAATTTAAAAATATATCCTTCTGACATTTTAACTAAATTATTGTCAGGGTTCTGTACAGCAATTGTTGGACAAAAAAGATGAATTGAAGAATCAAGACTATGTTTGTTCCATTTTAGGTCTGACTAATTATTTTAACATGTTATTTTTTTCTAACAAGGAAAAATCTGTTTTTTATTGTTCTTGACTTAATTCATAATCTTCTTATGACATTTTCTTTTAACACTTTTTGTTCCACACATAAATTTATAGATTATAAAATTTTCACTCTTATGTAACCTCCACACATTCACCCATTCTTGTTTTTTTTAAAGTTCTAGGCTTATTCATTTCTTAACTTTGAGTGAATGTATATCTTGAATGGATATTTTAAACGAATCTTCATTGAACGAAGACTGAAAGCACGTAGTGGCTCTTTATCGGCACTCTTATCTCCCGCAAGACGTTAATGTTGTCATGGTAACCTGACAAACGAGAATATCTAATCAGTCCAATCATGGAATGACAATCTTTCAGCCTTGTAGGCGTGTGGCTGTTGTCGCTGCTTTCTTCGCTGCTTTCCGCGCTGCACTTTGGTGTCTGCACACGATGCACCTTCCTGGACCGCCACTCATTAGGCTGATCTCACAGTTAATAGACAGAGCGTTGGAGACAATAGACTCGATGAATTTTTTGGAAGATTCTGCACGCTTTGAGCCTCAATGTGAGGATTGTTATGAAATTTTTGTTATGAAGTTATGAACGTTAGGAAGTCATATTTGGAAACACCCTGTGTAAGTGTAGTTCCTGATCAAATAAAGTATGCTTGTCTGGTAGTGTTTTTATAACTGAATAGTTTCAAAAATTAGTGATCGACAGTCTGTGAATGTTTTCTTGATCAGATTTGCATGGAGTAAAGAACAGAAATGTGGAAGATTTATCTGGTGGAGAACTTCAGAGGTTTGCTATTGCTATGGTCTGCATACAAAAAGCCGACATGTAAGTCCAAACTCTTATTTCTCTTGTTGTTAATAAGTTTTTTCCAATTTAATACTTAATATGTTATTGTTCTATCACCAAGTTTCATTAGTTTAGTGGGTTGTATTATATGAAGTTTTCGTTAAAAAGCACCTTTAAATTGCTGCGTTTTATATTGAACCATCTAAAATATTACAGATGTAAAGTCATAAAAGTTGCAAAATTAATGTCTTATGTTTAAGTGGCATTTTTTTGTGTCTTTCATAATTTTATTACCTCCAAACTTGCGAATATAAATTTTTTAGACTATTAAAAATATTTGTTCTGCCTAGCTTCATGTTTGATGAGCCCTCAAGTTACCTAGACGTGAAGCAGCGGTTGAAGGCTGCTCAAGCTATTAGAGGTCTCATTGCTTCCAACAAATACATTATTGTCGTTGAACATGATTTGTCTGTGCTTGACTATTTGTCTGATTTCATCTGCTGCTTGTATGGAATGCCTGGTGCTTACGGTGTTGTCACTATGCCCTTCAGTGTCAGGGAAGGTTAGATTATCTGTTTCTATATTTGTATCTGCATGCCATATTTTGTTTATTCATTTCCGTTTATAAGTTGTGTTTATTTGTATATGTTTAAATATTTAAGCTGTGTGTAATGAAACACTATTAGGCATCAACATTTTTCTTGATGGTTTTGTGCCGACTGAAAACCTGAGGTTCAGAGAAACTTCATTGACATTCAAAGTCTCGGAAACTGCCACTGAAGAAGAGATAAAGAGGTTATGTCGCTATGAATATCCTAGGATGCACAAAGCACTTGGTAAATTCTTTGTTGAATTTGTTTTATACTGAATATTAAAGTGATGTATCAATATGATAATATATCACTAAGAACTGTAGCTCAAATTAGATGCTTATATTTAAGCTGATATAACTTAATTGTTTTCTAGGTAATATTAGAAAAATAAAATTTTATGGGCTGTGTAGAAACAAACAAATTTTAGATGTTGCAACGACCTTAGTTTACGTGAATGTCAATTTTTTAATTTGTCTGTAAAACTTGAATGATCTTATTTGAAATGATATTGGTGTCAACCGTCTATTGAAAACACCTGCCAACAAAACCCCTTGAGACATGTTAATAAAAATAAAAATGGTTGGACATGAGACGACGTCGGGCAGAAAGTTTATCACCAGTGAATTTTAATGACAGGCGAGTTCTCTATTCAGGTGGAGCCTGGTGAGTTTACAGATTCAGAGATCATCGTCATGTTGGGCGAGAATGGAACAGGCAAGACAACATTCATTCGCATGCTTGCTGGTCGTTTGGAGCCAGATGATGGAAGTTGGTTATCCACTTTTTCCGTTTGTTATTTACGAGCTGATGCAAATTTGTCAAATACTTTATAGATGTTTTGTATTGCCACCTCACCCATGCCACAGACGCTTGAAAAGTTGCTCCTTGTTATGTGACAGTTTTTGCATTTTTACACTGTACTAATATAAATTGTAATAGAGATAAATGTTTATTTCCACGTGTTGCAGTAAAAGTACCACAGTTGAATGTAAGTTATAAACCTCAGAAGATCAGTCCAAAATCACAAGGAACTGTTCGCCAGTTGTTGCACGACAAGATACGGGACGCCTATATCCACCCGCAGTTCATCACGGATGTCATCAAACCAATGCAGGTTGAACAACTCTATGATCAAGAGGTTAGTTGTCTTTCAAATACTACAGCGTTTTCTCTTATCCGAGTCTGTGAGAGTTTTTTAAGGGACAGATTTTACATTTAAAATAAATACATCAGGAGAATACACACTAGAGTGGTCACAAGAAATTTTTTTTCAAAATTTTATCGGGGGAACCCCCTAAATTGTGCCACTTGACTAAAAAATGACATTTGTAAAGTTTTAGCTCAATTGGATAATGCTAACCCGTGCCTCATTGAGGTTGAAATTTCGAAAAATTGGAAAATTTGGAAAAAAAACGCAGTTTTTGGTTTGTAAAATAAAAACGGTTCACTCTAGAAACATGATTTTGGTTTTGTTTTGTTTATTGATTAGTTTTCTTCAAATGTTACTATGATCACTATTTAGCTACAAGTTATAGTTTCTGACATATTTGCATTGTTACAGATACACATTGAAAAAACGTTGAATTCCTCCATAACACAAAAACACACAATAACTTATTTACTATTACTAACCCGGGGGCTATATGTTGTTTTTAGTATTAATGTTAAAATCTTTTGGTTTTTCTACGATTTCTCATTTTTGGTAAGGAGCAGTTGTACATTGGGAAGGGAAATTACTTCCAGATGTGTTAAATAAAGAAAATGTTGAAAGAGTTGCAGTCTTAATTAGCTGTGGAGAAGAAGAACAGTTAATTGGAGTTCCCCTATTAGAAAATGGTGCTGGCAGTACAATTGCAAAATCTGTTTATTCAGAACTTGGAAAGTGGGGTGCACTTGACAAGATTCAAGCAATGTCCTTTGACACAACTGCCGTGAATACTGGACGCATTAAAGGTGCTTGCGTTTTATCAGAGCAATTGACGGAGAAAAAATTATTTTATCTTCCATGTCGCCACCACATTTTGGAGGTAGTTTTGAGATCCGTTTTTGATGCTGTGATGGGAAAGACTACAGGCCCTCAATCGGATATTTTCAAAAAATTTAAAACTGAATGGAACAACATTGATAAAAAAATTTAAATCAGGAGTTAAAGATAAAAGTGTAGCCAGCAAATTGATTAATCCGGGTCAAATTTCAAGTTATCTTCTATAACAATTAACAGTTCATCATCCAAGGAGCGATTACAAAGAATTTATTAATCTTTGTCTTATATTTTTAGAACGCTTTCCGTCAGAAAACATCGTGTTTGCGGCTCCTGGTGCTTTTCATCACGCAAGGTGGATGGCGAAAGCGATATATTCGTTGAAAATATACCTTTTTTGAGAACAGTTTCAACTGACAAATTTTGAAAAGCAAGGATTCCATGATATTTGCCTATTTATTATAAATATTTATGTGAAAGTGTGGTTGGATGCCCCGAAACCTGCACTTGCTCCAAACCAAGATTTACAATTGTTAAAATTACAATAAAGTCAATAAATTTATCTCAGATATATCAGTTTCAAAATTTATCAACCACATATAGTACCTCAATCCAGAGCAGGCTGTTTTTTCATTATTCGATGATTCATTAAGTAATTATGTAAAAAAGAGAATGACAACAAAATTAATATCTCAACCAAATGAGGATGAAGAACTTGATGACTACTGTGATATGAAACCACTAATAAAAAATAAATGAAGTATCAGAAATATTAGACAAAAATGCGGACCATTTTATTTCATCACAATCAAGTAATTTTTTAAAAAGATTTAATATTAATGATCAATTTTTGCATACCAATCCAGAATTATGGAGTAATAACGAAGAATATTTAATGAGTAAAAAGATTGTGGACGGATTAAAAGTTACAAATGATACAGCAGAAAGGGGTGTTAAATTAATAACAGATTACAACTCATGTATTACAAAAGATGAAGAACAAAAACAATATCTTTTACAAATAATTGCTGAATGTCGGACAAAATTTCCTGGTTGCTCAAAAGCCTCCTTATCCGAGCCTCTACCTTTTGAACAATGAGTTAAAGAAGAAATTTATTTGATGTATAACAACTATAAACAATATAATATGAATAAAAAGGTGTTTATTTGTTAATAATAATGGTTTGGATACAACGGTGTTATTTTAAAAACATTCCTTTATAAACAAATTAAGTTATTGTGTGCTTTTGTGTTATGGAGAAATTCAACGTTTTTTCAATGTTGTCAGAAACTATAACTTGTAGCTAAATAGTGATCATAGTAACATTTGAAGAAAACTAATCAATAAACGAAATAAAACTTAAATCATGTTTCTAGAGTGAACCGTTTTTATTTTACAAACCAAAAACTGCGTTTTTTTCAAAATTTTCCAATTTTTCGAAATTTTTCAAAATTTCAACCTCGATGAGGCACGGGTTAGCATTATCCAATTGAGCTAAAACTTTACAAATGTCATTTTTTAGTCAAATGGCACAATTTAGGGGGTTCCCCCGGTAAGATTTCGAAATTTTTTTTTACATATAGCGTTGTAACCACCTAATACACACCCTACTACATTGAACTGCCTAGCAAGGCCATTAGTTCCATCTACAATATGCATCTACTTTTTTTTTATAAAATATTTGATCATTTCTTTTGTTTGTCAATCTATCTCAATTTTTGAGCTACACACTTCAGATAATTTGCTAATGATTGTAAATTTCCATATAATGCTATCATATTTTTTTAGATGATTTTTTGTCAATTGCAATATTTTTGCAGTTAATGGTTTTTATTTGACACCATCATTGAATATTATTCAAATTGTTAGTTAATTTTTATTTTAACTCTTTGGATCATTTTTAGTAATTATATTTAACCTTTAGATAACTTCATAACAATTAGTGTTTTGCATGAAACTAAGGTTCTGAACTTGTCCGGAGGTGAGTTGCAGAGAGTTGCCCTGACCTTATGTCTTGGAAAGCCCGCCGATGTCTACCTCATTGATGAACCGTCTGCCTATTTGGATTCTGAACAACGTTTGCATGCCGCAAAAGTCATTAAGAGGTTCGTTGGTTTTCTTTTTCAGTTAAACCTGCTACATTAACAATGGCAACGCTGTGAAATCAATTTTATTCATTAACTCATTGTAGCACATAAAGCTAATGAATAGTTTTGTAACGGTTGAAAAGGCTTGCTTTCAGGCCATATATTTTTCTTAGGTTTTTTCTGTTTAATAATTTTGTAAAGGTTTTAGCTTCCAGCATGAATAAATTTAACATTTACATTAACATTTATCATAAAAAAAAATTTCAAATTAAAAGAAAAAAATTAAGTTGAGTTTTTAATTTCACTTTTAAACTTTTTAAGATCTTTAATATTATGTTATGTGTTGTGTATAAAGGAATTCAAAGTGAACAGTTTGGTCGTTTCTTTGTGTTAAAAGGATTATTGAAATGACTGCTTTTATCATGTAACTAATTATTTCAGAATGTGCATAATTTAAAAGTTACAAATTTTTTTAAAAATTTTGAATTGCTATGGCGATAGTTTCATTAGTTTTGTTTCGGTGAAGGTTAAAGTGAAGTTCCACCCCCAGGTTCATACTGCACGCCAAGAAGACGGCATTTGTTGTGGAGCACGATTTTATAATGGCCACATACCTGGCTGATCGAGTAGTAGTCTTTGAAGGAACACCGTCAGTTAAAGCAGTTGCTAATGTGTAAGTCTTTTTTTATTCTATAAGTTTTTCGTACAATTTTCTGTTACATTATCACAAAATAAGACAGCTGTTTCAAGTTTTTTCAACTTTTTTTAAGATTTTCAAGTTTTAATTTTATGGAATAAAAAAATGATGACATATCTATCGAAACCATTGAAATATACTATAAAAAAGTAACAAAAAAGACCTAGGTCTTGTTTTTAAAAAGAGTTTTTTTGGCCCACTGTGTTGCTGTCAATAAAAGACCTCACAGATGAAACTTTTACCTAGGGAACCAAGTAACAGAAAACAGTTGTGTAACAAATTAAGCAAATATTGTAACGAATATAGTTTCTTATCTTTTTATATTTCAAAGTTTTTTTGTTCGATTTTTGAAAATCAAATGAACTCATTACATGTTTCCACATAAAAGATCCATCAACTAATAATCAATTCTTATCTTTGTTAATATGTTATAATTTAATATCATAATGAGATATGTTACTTAAATCCACCAGACCTCAGAATTTGCTGATTGGGATGAACAAATTTCTACAGTCGTTGGATATCACATTCAGACGTGATCCAAACAACTTCAGGCCTAGAATAAACAAGTTGAATTCTGTAAAGGTTGGTCTCATGTCCTATAATTACTATGTTTATATATGGCTGGTTGTCTGTCTATTTTGTCTATTTGTTTATTTGTTTGTTTCATGATCCCGTAATTTTTCACTTCTGGTCAGATTAAGATTAAACTGAAATTTTGTGTACTTGCTGATTTCTGGTGGCAAACCTAATTATGTCGGAATAAATAAATAAATAAACTAATAAATTAATTAATAAAATGAATTAACACGTGCTTTGGCGAATAAAGGATGTTTTTGCGATGTTGGTGCCGGGGTTTGGGGCATTTTTAAAATTTTAAATGCTCTGGTGAATAGTTTTTGAACGTTCGCCGTGAATGCGTTTTAATTTATGATTATCTACGGCTGATGTCTGAGAGGGAGGTGTTTTTCAATATCATCAACAACTAGCGTGCAAAAAATTCTTAATGTTTACAAGAAATGTGCTTTATTTTTTTGATTGTGTGCAGCTATCGTCTGAAAGTCTAAGATGTTTTCCAAAATCATTAGCAACTAAAAAATACATAAATGTTGTAATTATTTTCCATATATGAAAGTCCTTTTTAAAAATATCTTTTTTATTTTACTTGTTCTTTCACCAGTTTATCATTTTCATGCGTTTGATTGTTTAGTTCTCGGTTTCGGAATCTTGTAATCAATTTTTGGATAATTTCTCACTGTCTGACTGAGCTGATGTTTTTCATACTTGCTTATTTTCGATGACAGACGCAGCTATCCCTTTGGAAATTAATAGTTAACTCCGTAACGAATGAAATCTAATCTGAATACAATACTTGCAGATTGGAATAGTTTTCTGAGTTTTCAAATTTTAATCAAGGGCGAATTCTATGCTTTGATATTGTTAAATATCAAAATATACAAACAAGTTCAAACAAACATACTTACAACATGCAAACATTCAAACACGTGTAATATTGAATGTATCATATGCGTGCATCCATAGATGTCGAGACTCTATTAACTAGGTGGGAAGCGCTAGACGCGAATGGCTATAGAAGGCCTAACATGTCTTATGAAGCTATTTCGCTATTTATTCAGTTTCATACTACGTATATTTTGATAAAATATATTAATCATTATAACTTTTATAACTGCAACCGTACGCAGGACATTTATTTGTTATTTTATGTAATTAAATTCAATAAAAATCAGATAACTAATTATTTATTTATTTTTAAAAAGAAATGAACGATATAAGTTAACCACCACGTTTATCATTCAACACCTAACGACAAACGAACGACGATACGTTCAGTTTTATCTGGAATGTACGATTGTCTAAGTAGTTTTTTATCCATAATATTAATTTCTCATAAACTTTATATTTGTGTAATTTAAATAGTAATCTACCGTGAGAGATTTTGTCAAACGCCTTCTCTAGATCAGTGTAGACAACGTCGACAGTATCTCCCTCTTCAACCGCCTGAGTAATCACATCTACAAACCTTAGAAGCTGCAATGTTGTTGAACGCGATGGGAGAAAACCATACTGCCTGTGAGTAAACAATTTATTCCTCAAGAAGTAATTCTTTATCTGTTCTGCCACAATGGACTCCAAGATCTTGCAACATGTTGAAGTCAAGGCAACTGGTCGATAATTAGCAACAGAACTTCTATTACCTTTTTTGTATATAGGAACTATCATGCTAGTTTTTCAGTCGTTTGGAACCACTCCTGTGTCTAGCGATTTTTGAGAAATCTGACAGATATTCAGCAAATGTTTGACCTACCTGCTGACCTACTTGTTAAGGTTAAGATCATTGAGCTTTTTAAGGGCCCTGTTTTCATCAATTCTTATCTCGCCCATTGCACCTTCTGGTGTCACCGGATTGATAAAAGATCCATCATCTTCAAATTTAGTGTCTTCAAAAACCGATGCCAAGTAATTAGCTAAAAGTAACTTCAACACCGTTGTGAACTAATGAACTAACTTTATCTCTGGAATGAGTAACGTTGTTCACGTATTTCCAGAACATCTTAGGATTCAATTTGCAATTTTTTGCTATTTCATTCTGTTTTTCTCTCGATAATGACCTGGTCAGTTTTCTCACTTCCTCTTGACTGGCGTTTTTTTTTAAACATGTATGTCCTTCTCCAATAATAATGCTTTAGCTTGATGAGCCCTCGCAACTCAGGAGTATTTTTGAATGTACTAAACCTACCTGAATTTCGAAACGGATCAACATTTTTAGTTAGACCGCAGATAATTTCACGAAAAAAATTCCAACTGTCTTCAACTGATGAGTTTCGATTCATAGCTAAAAGCTAAAAGTTCTGGCAACATCGGGGAAAATTTTTCTCTGAAGTTAATATAATCACCTGCATTAAAACAATGTTTCATACTGACCGGGGTTTGTCGCAAACCGAAACCACAAAACTCTGCAACAATGGCTGAGTGGTCACTTCTTCCCAATGGGGTAAAGTATCTAATATTTTTTACAAAATTGTAGTCGGTAATCAATAAATCCAGGATGTGTGGCCGCTGCATACCTCTTGTTCTGGTTGCTTCAGTGATGAACTGTAGCAGGAATCTATCACATAAAACATTATTCTAAGTTATGATAGTAGATTAGTAGATGACAATTTATAAAAAAAAAATACATACATAACGTAAAAGTCAGAGTAACGAAAAATATATTCATACATACATACATATTTACTTACTTAACCACATACATACATACATATATATTGTTTATTTTCTTTAAAGATACAAAATAAACAGAAAAAACTCGTAATAGTTTATTAACTAAAAATGTTCTACAATGATTCAATGAGAAAACAACAATCATCAAACTTTTGCAGAAGTATATATACAAACACATTTTCTCTCACATATAAAACACCATCTGCACAGTTACAAAATTATAAACAACATTTTTCTAAGATATGGACGTAGATGGCAAATTGATGAAGAATATGCATACAAAACGTAAATAGTCAGAGTAACGAAAAATGCCCGTTAGGATATTCCGTTAGCACAAGGATTCATGGAGGTTTATAAGTACAAGCAAAAATTTTTGAGATTTTTTTTAAATGATGCCAGATTATCGATGTTTTTAATGTTGAAGGGAATCACACTGTTCCATAATTTAGGGGCTGTATGAGATATACAATTGCTGCCCAAATTTAATCTAGATGTTTTTATATAGAAAGTATCTTGCCTTGTAATAATTGATTTATATGGATTTGAATAATGGAAGAATTCTGAATAATATGTATGTAAAAGATTTCTTAAGAATTTAAAAGTAAATAATGTTTGAAATAGAAATTAATTTGATAAATTGATAGGATTTTAGTCTTAGCAAGAAGTTCTTTGGTATGATCGGTTTGTTTTAAATTAAATATAATCCTAATAAAGCGTTTTTGACAAACAAATAAGAGCTTTAGTAAATATTCAGGACCATTTCCCCAGATTATATAACAATAAATTAGACTTGGAGAAATAAAACTATAGTATAGATTAATTTTGCTAACGAAATTAAATTTATGTTTCAATTTATTTAAAATATATAAAAACTGAATTTTTTTTCTTATTTCCAACCATGACAGATTACTTTTGATATATGTTTTAAAACTAACTGAAAAAATTACACACATTTATTTTCCAAAAAACACCATCTTAAAAAAATTTCAGAAAAAAAATAAATAACATTTTCCGAAGTCGAAGTCGGATGAACAAATCCGACTCCGACTCTGGTTAAAATCTCCGGCTCCGACACTCTGATGTGAAATGGCCGGGGCTAAGATATGGCGCAACCCTAACATAAATTTATATGACCGTAATCATTTGATTATTAGAAATTTTATTATTTTGCTTTATTTCAAGCTTTTAACCTTTTTTTGACAATTTTACTTAATTTGAAAGTACTTTTGTGATTATTTTTAAAATGCGCTATATAAATATTCGTTCTAATACTAACTGTATTATATAAAGGCTGATTACTCTACATGCTGTTAGGGAATTTTGAAATTGTCATATTTTCATGGGGCTGTTTTGTTATGAAAATACTTAATGTATAATAAATGTTGAATATTTACAAGTGAATTTTTAAATCAAAGTTCTAAGTATAAATTTAACAGTTAAAAATCAATTTTAATAAATCTTTTTCTAAAACTTGATTTACTGATTTTGTTTTTCTTGAATTACATTTATTATGCTACACTAACATTAAAAATTTTCTTTTTCTTATAATAGTTTAATCACAATATGTAAATCTAGCTTTATAATGTAAAATGTGAATTGGTGAAATCTTTTACGTTATATATTTTCTTTTCTGAGTATTATAATTTTGTAAACTGGTGGCTTGAGCCAGAAAACATTTCTTCTTTTTGGCCTCCGGGTTATTTCATTTCATACATAATAAAATATATTTCTGTTTGACCTGATTGATTGATTGGATTAATTAATTGATTGATTGCTGGATTGAATATGCGCTCCGGCAAAAGTTATGTCACGCAATGATAGCGCGTTATGATTGAAGTGCTTTTTTATTTAATATGCTCTGGCGGGTTATTTTTAATTATATGCATTAAGTGAACTTTAGCTTCTGATTGTACGCCGCCAGCGTTTGAGGTGTTTTTTAAACTCATTGTCAGCTATCGATTAAAAAAAATTTATAATTGTTTTACTTTATATGAGCGTTTTTTAATTAGCTTTCAGTCAATTAATTACTTTTACTGTTATATTCTAAATGATGATTGGATTGATTTTTGAAAATTAATTGACTCTAATATTCAAATAATACTTGTTATTATTAACATAACTTAACGTTAAAACAGTAATTAATTAGTTCGAATGCATTCTTTTAAGTTAAGCAGTCCGAAGAAATGTTGATAGACAATGATTATGACCACATTGCTGTTCACATTCCTAAACATTGTTAGGACAAGCCATTTTATGAGTCTATCAACATTTACGCCTCTTACTTATTTAGTCTGTTATTAAAAAAAACAGAATGTTATCAGATATTTGAATAACGTGATTAATGTTATCACAAAAATTTTGGTTGTATCAGAATGTTATCAGATATTTGAATAACGTGATTAATGTTATCACAAAAATTTTGGTTGTAACAATATGTAAGCGTTGGTCGTTGCACATTTGTACATAACGCTCAAATATGGACTTTTTAATGCTAAAATTAAATAGTGAATATTTCTGATCAACGCTTAAGTTGAATTGAGACTGAAATTATAGAATGTTAATAATAAAAGGTAAAAGATTGCTGAACGATTCGGATAAAAATGTGATGACTAGAAATTCAAAATTGTATACTTTTTTGTTTCTGCTGATGCTTGCTCGCTCAGATGTGGTTTTGCAGTTGTACCGGTGCGTATATGTCATTCAGGCGGCATGCACTTGCAAAAAGCCGGGTCTGAGCTAGTTCTGATTTTTCCCGAACTGAACTTGTGTGTTTAACAAATTATAACAAATTTCAGTTTTAAAACGATTTTGTCAATACATTTCTGTTGCTAGCTAAGCTGTCAAGCTGTTGGCTACACAACAAAAGTTGCTCAAATTTTTATAACAATTTGACAATTCATTTTCCTGTGATCATAATTTGAAATTATGCCCTATACAGTTTATTTAAAATGAAAATTGGAAATCTAATGTTATGTTATAGAACGAATATTTCATTATTATCGCTGTTTATAGGAATATACAAATATATTCAACAAACTTGATATTTTTTCAAAAATTTTCAAAGGACTCAGAGCAGAAAAAGAGTGGCAATTACTTCTTCCTGGAGGACTAGACTATATAACAATTATGTCGCTGTTAATCTGTTTGCACGTTATTTAGTAATAAAATTTATTTATCTTGATGAGTAATCTTTTTAATACTAAAATATTGAAATTCATAAGGGTTCCATTAAGAAATTGTTTTGCTTGTATTTTATTCATTCTTTATGACAATTGTGATAACCGTGTTCTATTTTTTATGTTGATTAATTTCGCGTTAGATTGCTGTTGGAACTACGTCTGTTACGGTGTTCCCGTCAATAATTATACTCAAAATTCATTGCTGGTAGTTGCTGGCTTTAAAGTTTAAAGAATATTGTGATCAGAAAATTTTCAAAGTTTTGTGAATAGTATAATTTATATTTGGTTATTTTTCATATGTGAAAGCCGTAAGTTAAAAAACGCTTTCAAGTTTTCGGGTGACAAACCAAGACTACCGCTGATAAAACGATGATAAAAAATTTCTCAACATTTTCTAAACTTTTTTTGTACCTTCCGGGCTCGGCCATCTGTTTTAGTGAACGAATGTCTTGGCTCGGAAAATAAAAGATTAAAAATTTCGTGGACTCTATTACTTCATTACTTTCAAGGTATGTGTCCAGCCATTTCAATCAAAAACTAGCAAATCTTTCGCTTTGCCGGTGCTAATGTTTTCAGGTTTTTGCTGAGAATAAACGTTAGAAATTAAAAATCTTATTGAAAATTCACTTCAACAGTTATCAAAGCTCGAAATCAACAACCAACTCATCAGTCCGAAAGAATAAGTCAAAAATTAAAAAAAAATTGTAAATAAATAAAAAATGATAAAATGTAACGATGGTAATAGAAACAACAATAGGAAAATTAGTGAGCGCAGTGTGTATCGTACTAAAGATAGAATAGTATTGTTGACGCTCAATGTCAATAACTTCCAAGTTTATTATCACTGGCCGTTGGAATTCATGTGACATCGCAAACAAGTTCTAAATTGGCTTAAATATGCAAATCCATGTAATGAAAAATTTAAAAATCAAAATAAATAGAGTTTTTAAAAACTGGAAATATGAAAATTGTAAATATTGATCAATAATTGGTTGTTCATGAAAACTGAAGAATGACACCAGAATAGGATGAACTTAGTCTTTTTTTAAAGCAAACAGTATATGCTCCAAATTTATGCTAGGTCAACATCTGCAATTGTCAGACCACATTTAAAAGCTTTTTTTGGATAGATAAATTTTAAGTCGTTTTTTAGAACAGCTCCAAGCGTGATGGCCTAGCGATTAAGCTCGCCTGATGCTGTTTCACAGTGCGTGCAGTAACCGGATACGAAAACAACGAAGATCACAGCCCGTTACAGGTTTCGTGTGTGATGCTTTGTTTAGCATGTATTTGTATACTATATTTGTGTGTTGTTGAGTTTTATGAATCTTTTTTAGCTAAAATAGTTTCGATCGTAAATGCAGTTGTTAGCCAGTACCTAACGGCAATTTTAAAAATATGCTCAAGAATTACCAGCCAATATAGGGTAATTAAAAACTCACTTGATTATGTTTCCGCAGACCTCGAAATATCCGAACCGTTGTATTCATTAGTCATATCGCATCTAAAGTTACACCATGCGCATCAAAGAGCCAACCATTTCCATGACAGCATTAGAGAACAGATCAATTCAAACGGTAGGATCTTTTAGGCCAAGATACAAAATAAGATTTAGAGAAATGCCGGGCTAATGTTGATAATCCCAAGCCAAGCCGAACCAAGAAAAAGCTACAACAGAATTTAAAAATCTCAGAAATTTAGCTCAACTGAACCTCTATGAACTATTTATATATATTGTCAGAATTATGAAATAATATTGACTAAAAGTACTTCAAAGACTTTTAACGCAAAATTTATTCACTCGATAGGGGGCATGATGCAAGTTAATTTACTCGATAGGTGACAAGACGATTTTTTGTTTGTTTTGCAATTTAGATGACGTCATAAATGATTACAAATTATTTTAAAAATTAATTAGTAGTTTTTTTTTGATTAATTGGACATACCTTGGAAATTTTTATGTTTAAAAACACCCGAAACAAAATCTAATTTTGCTTTGATATAGAGTTTCCTTATCTCATCTTTAGTGGAAGAGTGTGGGAGTGAAAAGAGTCCGCACTGGGTTGACTGGTTAGGCAGCTTCGAATAATCGGTGCCTATTCTGGTCCCTAAGAGATTTAATTCGTGATTCTATGCTCATTGGCATAGTTTCAGAAACGTCTTAAGTTCTCAAAAAGAGTCCACCTTGGGTTCACCAGTAGGCAGCTTCGAATAATCGGTGCCTATTCTGGTATCAAGGAGACCTAATTCGTGATTCTATGCTCATCGGCATAGTTTCAGAAACGTCTTATGTTCTCAAAAGTGGATTTGGTGCGAGACTCTATGCTCATTGGCATAGTTTCGCACGTGTACAAAAGTCACACAATTTGTTTCCAGTGTTGTTCTGACTATTGTTGTTTTGTGTTGGTTGTGCGAAAGCCAACCAGACTTGACGGCCCAGTGAATACAGGCCAAGGTTGTACGAAAACCGACCGACTGACAGACAGGCCCAGTGAAAACAGGCCCTTGGTCGTGCGAAAGCCGATCAGACTCGACGGCCCAGTGAAAACAGGCCAGGGTTGTGCGAAAGCCGACCGACTGACTGACAGGCCCAGTGAAAACAGGCCTTGGATTCTGTGAAAACGAATCCGCCTCCTTCTTTTGTTTTTCTTGTGCTATTTGTCGACCTAGGGTTCTTTGCTGGATTCTATACTCATTGGTATAGTTTCGCACGCAGCTTGCAATTTCCATAGGCTCCGATTTTTGTAATTTTTCTCCATTCATTTTATTTATTTCTCGGAATTGTATCGATACAACCATCGGTCACACATGTCGAGGTTGTACGATTAAACGGCAAGAAACATATTCCAAGTTGCCCGACCCAACAAGAAGTACTAATTCCTGTATTCCAGTTTGTTCATTGACATTATTTTTTGTTTACATTATTCTAGAGTTCATTTAGTTCAATTCCTTTTCATTTACTTCCGTCGATTAATGAAATTGTTATCGAATATTTTTCTTTACGCGTTCGTGTGTTACTCAGTAAAATCATATAATTCGAAAAAGCCCAGTGCCACACAGGACTGGAACTCACGATAAAAATATACAAAAAAAAAAAAAAATTATTGTCGGACCATGAAAAAATTTCCTGAGAAAGATAGAGGAAGAGATTACCTCACCTCCAGTTTCATAAATTTCCGACTATATATATATATATATATATATATATATATATATATTATATATATATATATTTGTTGGAAGGAGACATTTCATACTCTTACAACTGCACTCCTAAAGACGATTCTACTTTGAAGCGTAATCATGTAATAAATGCCCTTTTGACAACTGTGCGCGTTAACATTCGTATTTTGGTGTTACGACCACTTCACTATCAAGAAGTCTCACAATGCATACACAAAGAAAAGTCATCAAATCTTACTTGCAATCAACACATGCAACTCCAATAATCCTCCAAATTCTTGACAACACAAAAATAATTTATCAAAACACCAACACAATACATCTGAAAATTGCAGAAACTGTTCTAATAGGTATCAACAAACCCAAAATAAAAATCCAACAAAGAATGATAGCATCACTACCAACTCGATGCCTGATTACCAACTTTAATAACAACGAAGAACATAGAAATGACAATAACAAGGATGAAGAATACGACACTACTATTAACTTTTCCATCGAACTTTGTTTAAGAACTTTATTCTGTTTATTGATTTTTGTTCTGTTCGAAGAAACTATATGAACCAACCTGCAATGAAGACGATTTAAAAAAAATCGAAATAAGGCCTTATCTGCAAGATGAATTTTGATAAAAACAATTTTATTAAATTTTCATGATGAACTTGTATAATTCTATTTTCAATAAATTGAACGATTTCCAGAAAATTCTAAAAAAAATTAAAAAAACAAATTTAAATTGTTTAAATGCTGACAATTCGGTAGAATTCATATATATATATATATATATATATATATATATATATATATATATATATATTTGCAAAAAAAGGTTTTTTTGCAAAAATATTAAATGAAATCTGCATATCTGAAAACCTCGTCCCAATACATATATATATATATATATATATATGTATGTATGTATATGGTATACTTTATGTACTCGTACTGGCCAGCCATAACCTACTTGCCGCACAGTCATGTGGAACAAGTCGACTCACTATATATATATATATATATATATATATATATATATATATATGTGATGAAAAACATTTGCACTAGCAAACCAAAATTAATAAATGATCATAGCCATCTAATATATTTGTTCAAATGTAATATTGGTGAGTGTCTACACCCAGATTTAAATAGAGGAATTATTTTGCAGACTTTGTAACAAAAAGTAAATTTTCCAGAATTTAAAGACAAGTTTTAAATATCTTAATGGTTTTATCACAACATATGCGTCGTTAAAGATTGCTTGTTTCGGAAGCAATTATAAAAGATAAAAAAGACAAATTCTCAAACAAGCAGCGTGGAAACACTAAAGTGGATAAAATGTTGGATTTAATAGATTTATTCGTTTTATTTCTGACAGCAATTGGCTTCAATTGATGCCCACTTTTGTTATTTTTGATTTAAAAAGAGTGCCGAACACTAATTGCGTAAATGATGTGGTTAATATGGCAAGTAAAGATAGCGTTAAAATGTTGGACAACAAATTAAATGAAGTGTTAAACATAAACAAAATTGTTTTAGGCAGGTTGTCAGGTGTGAATCCATGTATGAATTATGGCACTGCACTAACAAATGAAAGTAAAATTAGCAAGCACATTTTAACAAACCCTGTGTCGTTAAACACGCCAATCTCTGACTCAAAATTGACTTGGGCTGACTGAGTTCCTAAAGATTCACAATCTGAAGATAATATAAATGATTTTTTAAACTGCTACTGCGTAGTTAGACCAAACCTAAATGAAGAACTCTTACTGTAGTTGTCGCAAAATCAGATCCTCATACACATGCTCAACACAAGCAGAAAATCGAGCAGATAAAAAAGTTATTGGTAAACAGACAGATAATTCTTCCAATTTAAAGCCAATAAAAGTGAAACCACGTAAAAAAATGGTTTACGTCGGTAAATTGGATCAATGTACCGCAGAGGATTGAAAAACTTGTCTATACTCGTTTAATTAAATTTTTGGAAAAATACAACACACTTATTGACTGTCAATATGGTTTTAAAAATGGTTCGTCCACTGATTTGGCTGTTTTCGACATGTCTAGTTGTATTGCCAGAAATATGGAATCTAACATTCCTACTGTTGGTTTATTTATTGATTTTGAAAAGCGTTCGATAGTTTGAATCATAGTATTTTAATTCACAAATTATGCCACCATGGAATTAGAGGAACCCTTCTTGCCTGGTTTGAAAGTTATTTGATAGGTAGGTCGCAATATGTATCAATTGATGGTTCAGCATCCGAATTGATTTCTGTACATACTGGTATTCCTCAGGGCTCAATACTGGAACAACTTTTGTTCAATTTGTTTTTGAACGACTTAATCAAATCTTCATCTTTTGCCAAATTTTTCCTTGATGCCGATGACACAACAATCTTGTTCTAAAGTCCACGTTTAGAAGGTTTTAACGCACTAATTAATCAGGAATAAGCTTCTTTGTTTGAATGGTGTCATATAAATAAACTGCAAGTAAATTTTAATAAAACTTTTTTTTTATAACATTTGGTCCAAAAATAATCACTAGTCAAATTGACCTTAATATATATATATATACTATATATATATAATATTAATATATATATATATATATATATAAATACATATAATATATATATATTAATAGAGTTGAAAGTATTAAATTTCTAGACTTTACCATCAGCTCCGATTTAGGGTGGTCCAATCATATAACAAATATATCTTTAAAAATCTCAATAACAATTGATATCATAAATAAACTTAGACACATATATCTATATCATGTTGTTAAAATTCTGTATTATTCCCTAATATATCCTTACCTGATATGCTGTCTGGCAGTAGTCCCAGTTGTCATTAACAGTTAAGTGCCAACGATATTTTTTGAGTTCTCCATGGTTTGAAAAAGTTTGATCATGTTTCTCATTTTTTTTAACTAAGTAAGATTTTCACAATAGTTTCTTTATACAAATTTTATTTAATGTTATTTATTTACAAATTGTATATTTTGAATGTTTCTCCTGACGCGTCTCTAACAGTTTCAAATATTTACTCTACCATTAGCTTTCAATCTAGTCATAGAAATGAGTTCTACTTGTCTGTAATAGGAACAAACAATCTTCCAAGCTTCCAACGGTGTACCAGCTTTTCAAAGTTAAAATCATCTGTATTTAATTTAAAACCATCTGTATTTAAGTTAAAATCATCTGTATTTCATTTAATTATATCTAATATAATAATAATATAATAATAATAACAAAGTTTAAAGTGGTTCAGTAGACTATCATCTGTGTAAAAACAGCTACAAAATAAATGTCCTAGTATCCTAGCTTTCCTAGCATGGTTTTAAAATTGTTGATTGAATCCACTGAGACAAGCGTGTACCAGCTTGCTGCTAAAGAATTTTTGTTTTATTGGATTTTCTGTCTTTTTGAAGAGCTTGTATCTATGACCTCGAAATCCTTTCCTTTTTTCTAGTTGAAAAAACCTGGTGAACAGTGTTTTTTTTCTAGTTATTAATTTTATGTGGAAATCAGATCTCCCCTGCATCTTCTCCTGGGAGAAGAAGATATATATAATTGGTTAATCCGCATTCTTTCAGTCTATCCCTATATTCAAGTTTTCCAATTCCTTCTATCATCTTTGTTGCTCTACGCTGTACCCGTTCAAGAATGTCTTTTGCAGATCTTAACTCCAAACCTGTGAACAGTAATCGAGACGAGTGCGAACTAATGTTTTATACAAGTTTATAATGATCGACTTCTCTTCGCTCACCACCGTTCTTCTAATACATCCAATTTTTTTATTTGCTTTGGCTACTGCCAAAGTACATTGTGTTGATGTTTTTGTGTTTTTATGAATAGTAATTCCGAGGTTCTTTTCATTTTCTGTAGATCGAAGGCCTTTACTGCCCAGTTGAAATTGAAAGCCTTTGTTCTTTCTTCCTATATGCATAACTATACATTTTTCTTTGTTAAATAGCGTTTTTCAATTTTATTATTTGATCTCTATAGTTTTGTTTATCTCTGTTTTGTTATTCTAATGTTCTCTGTTTTCAAACATACTTTTTAATTTTGTAACTTCATGGAATACAAATATTTCAGGTTTAATTAATTGGTTAATTTATTCTTTTCCGAATATTGATAAATTATACTTTTTCTGTTGAATGCGAAAATTTTTGAGTTTTATTTACATTTTACTGTCGATTTTACAAACTCATTTACTCAATAATATTATATTTAGTTCTTTATTATTTATATTTTTATTTCATTTAATTACTATTTTTTATTTTTTATGTTTGATGCCCCTCAAATAACGCCCATAAAAATAATAAACGAGACTAAAAACAGCAATTGTACTCACAGTTTCAAAGTTCGGTTTGTTTGGTTCGGTTACGGTTCGATTCCTAACTCTTATATAAATATGTGATAAACAATGCAATTACGTCATCTTTATAAATTGCGTAATTGAAACAACAGGTTGTTTTAAAAAAAATGATTACTTTATTCAATAAAAAAGACTACAAATTTAGTCGTTGCTTCTGTGAAAAAACGTGTAGGTGGATTTCAGCCAAATTTATCAAAAACTATTCTCTTTCTAAGCTATATAAACTGTGAAAGTTTCATTAGATTCTGTTCTACGGTTTAGGGGTCCAGTAAACATACAGAAGATCGATAACTTGACGATCGTGCAAGTTACAACATGTTTGTTAAAACAAAAAAAGGGTTTAGTTTTATTAAAATGAAGCTAGTTATTATTGTCCAATATTAAACAAATATAAATTCATCAAAAGTTAATTATGTTATTAGTTAGCTTACATATTTAATAACTAAAAAAATTATTTATTATAGCTATAATTTTTGTTTCATTCAAAACTACTTGATTTGTACGATGCCATTCTTTTTCTATGTTCGTATGATCCGTTATCGAAATTTCTGTAATCTGTCCTTGTCTCATTTTTTGATGCATTTTTTTCGAAATGATCATTTTGGCCACCTGTTATTTGAATATCCCAATTTGTTTTGTCTAGACCATTGCTATACTGGTTCTGCAGTTTTGAGCTGTAATTTCGACTGCCACCTGGTCTAAGATAATTGTAAACGTCAAACCTTTGCCCTATTCGATTCATTCTTGAATCACTTCTGCCAGTAGAAAGCCATCTACCGTAAGTTGATTTTAAATCCCCGTTAGAGTAAATTTGGCTATTTTGCATTTTGTTGATATTTTCTTTAACTTGATTGAGTCGTGATTCTGAAGCATGATCGACTATTAACAAGTTCCTGTTTTGATCCTCTCCAACATAACCATCCTCAAAATTATATCTTGGTCCACTTTTGTGACTGGAAATTATGCTTTCTACTCTAATAGTATTTGCCTTGCTATTATATGTGTCGTTTTTTTTATTTTCAGGTGTATCAAAATAATTATTATATAAGTTTTCCTTGCCAATATCGCTTGGAAGATTGGCGTTTCTCAAAGTGTTATTCCATGCATAATTTTCCGAATTAATAAAATTTTCTGTAGCCGTTCCTAGGCCGCTCTGAGAAATTTTGTTGAAATTAGCTCCAATCATCTGATTCACGCCTATTTCCGCTGCTCTTTTATCCAGATTTTTAAAACTGTCATCATCCATTTGATAATCTAAATAGTCAGTGCTATCAAGATTCAATTTTTTATTCTCTTCAATTTTTTTTTCTATGCTGACGTGTTCGTCATCTATGCCCATTCCTTTATCAGCAAGGGCCATAGCGCTAAATATTTTATATAATTTCCAAGTATAAACTTTATCGAGACGTCCATTTTTGTGATTTTGTAGCACCTCTTCGTAAATTTGTCTTCTTTCATCTGTGACGGTCAAATCAACAATTATTATCTTGTTTATTAGAAGAGTAGTTTGTTTAAAAGTATTATGAGTGTTCTTGTATGGCACCGTTTTTTGAAATGTTAATTGGAGCTTGATAGTAACCATTCCGTTGTTAACCATAAGTTCAACCTGCAAAAAATGTTACATTTGAAGCAAAAAGCATTAACTTAAATTTTGTACACTTACTCTTTGAGCAACATGATCAACATTGATTTCCTTTTTTTCATATTTTTCTCTGACTTGATCATTCGAATAAGGGCCTAAATAATTGACGTATCTATTTTCTACGTTTATATTCTGCTTCAAACTACCTTCTGGAGCATTTTTCATTAAGCGTTGAAAAATTATATTTTCATCATCACCTGAAAAATGAATTGAAACGAATTATATTTGTAATGAATTGCAAAGATAATAATTTTTCTGATATGTACGTTACTTACTTAAATCGTAATTTGTTTGCAGATTACTTAAAACAGACTGTGGAATATTATTTTCATAACCGTCAAATTCATCTTCCGAAAACGTTTCATCATAAACTGGTATCATTTTCTCGTTATTCTTAATGGGTATAGCTTTCACCTGACTTTTGCTAGATAGTTGTACATTATCATCAACAAACATGACCGCTTTTTTGTCATTTTCTCTAGGTCCAACGTATTCATCCGTGTCTGATAAATAATAATCTGTCTGGATAAGTTTGTTTTTAGTTGAAAGTGTTTGAATTTCTTTCGACTCTTTTTCTGGATCGGTATTGAGGGATTTGGGTAAAGATGTTGGTTCTGTATTACTAACACCTGTTGAGGTTGTTTTAATTTTAAAACTTTCTTCTACAGGGGCAGAATATTCAGTAAATGAGTTGATTGTCCTTTTAGCTTTTCTTGATTTTTCTTCAAATTTTTTCTTCGCTGGAGTTTTATTCAAATTTGTTTCATCAATTTCAATAATTTTTCTGGTTTTACTGCGTGTTGTTTGCTCAAAGTCCTCAACAATGCTTGGCTTAATGTCAATAATTTGGCTATTTAAAATGTTGCTACTATCGGCTTGTTTAAATACAGTTCCGTATAAACATAAATCAAAATCTACGTTATTATTTTTCAAAATCTGTTGAGATGCCGTTTCCCGTGTTATCTCTGACGGCTTCAATGATTTAATTATGTATCCATCTTTTAACGAAAAATTTCTCTCTTTTGAGTCAGATTCCATTATTGATGAAACGTTATTTTTTGGAAGATTTATATTAATAACAGCCTTTGAGGGATAATTTGTTGCCTTGGGTTTGACATGAAGATTTTCATGTGGTGTTACTTGATTAATTTCAGCAGAAATTAGATTAACAACACTTGTTCTGTTGCCTTCAAGCATAAGAGGCTCAATTCTGGATCTTTGTGTATTAAAGCCATTATTGGTCGTATGTTGCTGGTTTGTTGACAAAGATATTTTGTTTATTTTAGATGGCATAGAGTAGTTCTGAAAATGTCTTGCAAAACTAGACTTAGGGCGTGTTCCACTCAAAAAAATTTTTTTCAAATCTACACTGACATGATAACTTGCTCCAGTTTTCTTTACATTTTTTAGTTCTGGATCAGCGTTATCTAAAATTGTCGATTGTTTTTTTGAGGTATCATATTTGATTGTTGTCAGATCATCAAAGCTACGAGATAGAGTTCTCTTGCTGAAAACAGATTTTGGCAAAGTTTTTATTACATTTTCTTGATCGACCATGTTTATTGAGCTTTTATTTGTGTTTGGAAGATTTTGATAAATGTCAGAACTATTACTGTAAAAAGTATTCCTATTGAACATCCGAGGTTGTTGAAAACCATTTGTTTGTTGAATTAATTGATCATTAACCATTAAACTCGGAATTGACTGGTATAGTTCAGTTGTAGATGAACTCTGATACCGAGAATTTCTACTTGTCGGTTTGTTGATTTTTGAAAATGTGCTCATTTTTTCAAATAACTTCAGTTTAATTTTAATTTAAAATAGGCAATCAGAATAATTACTAAAATTTGATTCATTCAATGCGTTTTAAAATTTGAGTAACTTTTACAAAATGTTTAGGAATTCGCTTAAACATGCTTTATTTACATGCAAGCTATCACATCGTAGACTACCTACATGCTTTCACAAGGCATTCTTCAGGTATTAACACACAGCTAACGATTCAAAGCTTTGCGGGCTAGTGCACATGATAAGTATGCTCGTTATTTGTAACGATGATTTTGTACACAATTAAAATATATATTGTTCATATTATAGAAACTTGTTCATTGTTTAACTATTGCCTATTATTATCAATAATTAAATTACCGAATACCACAAAATTAAATCAAATAAATTAGAATGCAATAAATTCACAATTATTCTGCAGTTAAATTGTTGTTAACATATAAACAAATAACGCTCCACATGTGTTTTCTATTTGCAAATTAATAAATTATCCAAATATATTAATAAAATGAGTGATGCACATTATTAAAAAGTTTGGGCGGCGTGATGGCTCAATGGTTAAAGGCGCCTGGTCTTGCTGCTGCAGTGACTTGGTTCGAATACAAAGAAATCCCCGCCTATCATATGCAATGTGTAAAATGCGTGATTTTTACGCGTATTCAAATAGGCTGTGTGTGTTTGTCGCTGAAACCTCTGAAGCAAGCGCAAAAGAGAGAGAGAGAGTAACCTTTTAATAGTAAGTAATTATACACAATAGAAATAAAAAGTAGTTATGAACAGTGTCGGAATCGGATGAAAAATATCCGACTTCGGCTCCTTAGAAAATTCCGACTCCTCAAAAAATCCGATTACGACATTTTAAAAAAATCCGACTCCGGGTAAAAATTTCCGACTCCCAGTTCTAAATCCCAGACAAAAATTTTCAACTTTTGCATCATAATTTCATTAAATTATCACCATTAAATAAAAATTACTATAAAAAACGCTTGAAATCAGCAAATGTAATTGTTTTTCTTAATAAAATTACTTTATTTTTATGTTTTAAAACATGCTGAAAAAAGACTTTATTCACATTTTTAGCATTTATTTTCAGTATTAAAGATGATTGCATATCACTACACATATATTCTAGAAAATACAATATTAAAAAAAATTATCATAAAAATAAACAAAATTTATTTTAAATTAATAACATTTTCCGGAGTCAGATAAAAAAATCCGACTCCGGCCTCCCAAAAGTTCGACTTCGGCCCCGCAAAAAATCTGACTCCGGCCCCTTAAAATATTCCGAATCCGGCAAAAATCTCCGACTCCGACAGTGATTACGAGCACCTGCTACCCAGCCAGTCTATGAAAATCTTGAATTTACAATACACCACAAAGTTGACTTGATTTTTTTAAAATTTCGTCTTACAAATAAACATTGCAATTGATTTATAAATTGTCAACAGAAAGTTTTTCTGGGGAGTCAAACACTTTGGCTTTGTAAAAGTAAATCGGTGAAGTTTTTTCCTTGTTAGTTTGTAAATTTAAAAGCAATATTATCTTCTTTGCATCGTCAATTCAAAGATGAATCAATTCAATTCATTCAATCTAATCATTTGAAGCTGCTAAAAACGAGGCTCCATGATATAATAAAATTAGGTAAGTCGGATTTCAAAATTTAATTAAATTTTTATTCTTTTTAATTTTTAATTAAAAATTATTATTACAAATTTATAACATTTTAATTTTAAACGTTAGGTTTGGTTGAGATAATAATTCTTCAACAGCTTCATTTTCTTCACTGGAAAGATTGAAGTTCAAACCAAAAACTTGTTCTGTGCTCTCATTTTTCTTAGCTTTCATATCACCTGAAATATTAAAATTATAGATTAAACTTTTAAAGTTAAATTTTTAATTTAAAAATATAGTTATAACCGTCACAAAAGCACACGTCACATAAGCCACTTGACCGCGAAGACATGACGGAGAAACTTCTTCGAACATTTATAAAGCCAACTTTGAAGTAGCAGCAATGAATTATGGCTGGAATGAAAGAGAGAGAGGGCAACGGCTGTTGTAGTAGAGTTACGAGGATCAGCGGCGGGAGTTTTCCAAACGATTTCGGTCGAAACCATTCCAACTATGGAGTCCTGGTAAATGCGTTAAATTTACGGTATGGTGAAGAACACATGATGCAAATATATCGGTCCCAGTTACGAAACCAGACGCAGCGACCTGAAGAGTAAGTACAGCAGCTGGCACAGGATAATGAACGGTTGACACTGCTGTCATACCCTACGTACGACCCACAGAGAAGAAACTGCATTGGAAACGTTTGTAAAGACTGTTCGAGATTCAGATCTTAGACAAAGATCTGATACTAGAGGACAAACGCAACCTCAAAAACGCCGTTGCCAACAGTCTTACATTCGAGTCAGCAAAGCAAGCGTCAAAGACTGACAAAAAGCTGCACCAATTTCGTGAAGAATGTTTGCGTCAAAGGATAGTTCTAGAACAGATTATGGTGTGCCAAAATGCTGGAATTGTAAAAAAAAGGTACATCAACGACGAAAATTGTAAACGGGATTATAATGCGCCAAAATGCTGAAATTGTGGAACAATAGGACATCTGTGACGAGATTGTAAACGGGATTATGGAGCGCCAAAATGCTGGAATTGTAGAAAAATAGGACATCTACGACAAGATTGTAAACAACGCCCTAGAAACAATTACTGTCGTTATTGTGCATCTACATGGAACAAACGATTAGAGGGTGACCCCACGTCACGACCGACTGCTTCAAAAAAGGAGGCGGGATACTATTTAAAAGCCAATTTTGCGGAGCAGAAGTTGTCTGGTAAAATGGATGCCCCTTGTACCGCAATGTAAAGGAATCTCCCACAGCAATGCTGATGCTCTTTCCTGTCAACCCTGTTGCAAATACTGACTGGAAGAGAAAGTACAAACAGATGTACGAAAAATTGCGGTTAAACGATATCGTCTACCGAATTCAATAACATCGGAGGCCGCGGGCGAGCATGAAGATTGTTCGTCTGGACAGACTGGCTCTATTCTATACAGACGTTGCAACGAACACTGTTTGAGACGAACAGAACTGAAAGTGGAGCAGTGTTATAACCGTCACAAACATATTCACTAGAGGCGCTAGTGTCGCTACAAACGCATACAGTTCGAGGAGGAACTAGAACATTCAGACGGCGAGATATCTAGGACGTCGGTAAAACGGGTATATAAAGGCGTGCGGTAAATTGAATGGTTGTTATTGAATATTTGATATTAGAAACCGATTGATTTATTAGTGTCGAAAACGAAATTTGATATTTGACTTTGCGTTGTAGTTTTATTGTTTTTACGATTAACTTTAGTGAATTTTTGTTATTCGGAAAGCGTTAGTTTCTGATCGTTATTTTGATAGTTTGTGAACATAAACTTTTATTAGTAAAATTAATTATTGTTGATTATTGATTATTTAATTAACTATTGTTTTGTAAATAAATAAATCGATAATTTGGAAGTTATATTGCCTTTATTTTTGACTGGGATTAAAAAATGAACTCGTCGTCGACCGGGGCAGTTATAACAATATTAAATTCAAAGTTTCAAAAATTTTTAAAATTAGCTTTTTCATATTTTATTCATCGCTTATGCATTGAATTTAAAATTTATAATAAACTCAAATAAACAAAAGTTACAAATAAGAATAAATCCTGTTTTTAATATTTGCGTTTATATTTTAATGTTCATATAAAAAAAAACATAAACAGAACATGAAAAAGGTAATACAAAAAAAACTAAATTTACTTTGATCAAAATCTGGACAATCATGAATAACTTTTAAAATTTTTTAAAACTTTTCGCCCTTTAAATTTGCCGCCTGGTTCGCTTTTACCCTTTGCCCCCATAGTTACCGGTCTGAACATTAATATGAGGATTACACACAGAAGGGTGCTTGACCATATATTTTAAGACATATAAAAAATTATGATTTTGCATTAATAATGAATTATTTATACAATATAAATTTTATTTTATGCGTTATGTTTGTTTTATGTAAGTAATATTTTGATGAAAATTTTTAAAGGGCTGCAGTCGGGTTCGGATATTTTTTTTATCTTTATTTTTTTATACAATTTTAAATTATATCCTAAAAATTATTTTCCAAGCTTGTGTTTTTTATAAGATATATGTTTGCAGCGATTCGCAATCATCTTTAATTCTGATAAATATCTGCTATTAAACGCGCCGTGCAACCATTTCCATTTTTAAATACTGGTGTAACTTTAAGTATGCGCTATGCAGTGCTAATGTTTTAGAACTCAAGGGAAAAAATTATTTATTCATTTTATTTTATAATAATGCTATAAATTTTTAAAAAATATTATCTATTTGTTACATTATTAATATTATTATTTCTAACATGTCTAATTTTTAGGCTAACAACTCAGAAAGTCAATCTAAAAGATTGAATCTCAGGAACGACAGATACAGACCTTCATAAAAGTTAGAAGAGTTTTATCAGAGCCCTCAAAATACTGCACAAACTAAAATAGGTGATTATAATAGATGCAATCGTTGAGCAGGGCCGTTCAAGCCAAATGTCCACAAAA